GGGAATTCTGGAATATTAGACCGGTTTTGAACGTTATATAAATGAAAGGGCACGTGAGTTGAGAGAAATTTATTCCTATTTCACACAAAGGGAAACCTTAACAGTTAATTGATACAATTGATAGAATGTAATCGTGCGTTTAATTTTTGCCGATTTTACAGGGCCGTAAATCGGTCTTAACGTACCCAGCTCTTTTGTAATAAAGTTTCATAAAAAATTCAAAACTTATTAAAAGAACAAGATACAGTTTCAATAAAAATCTGGCCCTGTATTTTTCTAAAATATGGAAGTGATGAAAGAAATTAAAATTCATGCTTTTTGAAATCTTGAAACTCCATGCACTAAGATCAAACAAACTATTTTTCTCATTTGACTTCCTAAATGCTAATTGTGACGTCATAAACTCGTGCATTTTCTCGTATTTTCATAAAAATTTCAGAAGACATCAATTTTCAGTGAGATTTTCTTTCAGATAATATAGCACACGTATCGCCCACAAAGATTTGAGAAGAGTGATTTTTTAAAGAATTTTACAAAACATACTCAATATTTAATTGGGTGACATCTGTGGACACTATTTTCTCAAAGAAAATACCCCCTGAAATGTTGAGTCATTTTGGGGCTTTTTCTGCTTAAAACTTAGAAATCAAAAGCCTGAAAGGCTTCAACGGCGTCGAACATGAAAAACAATGCATGTCAAATGATCTTTTTGAATTTGAAGAAAGCAAAAGTCAATTGTATGATTCAGGTAGCCTAACACAATTTTTTGTAAACAAAATGTCAACCATTATAGTCTTGGGGCCTTATGTCATGATCCGAATAGAGCTGGGTTCAAATTGACCAGACACCGTTCGACATGTTAAATTCATTCTGAATATCAAACTCATCTCTTTCCAGTCAGTTGAAGAACTATGAAGAATTTATATATTATTTTATAAATTCAAATTTATATAATATTTTCCTAATTGCCAATGTCTAAGCGCTGTTTTAGTAATTGCATCTATACAACCTAACTCTGCTCTGTTACGATTACGATTGAGTTACGATCGGGCGTGGTATACAGGTATACTGGGAAATGGTGGAAATGGATAAATACAGTAAAACAGGTCAATAACTTCAGTTTTAATGATTAAATATGTCATTAGATTGTAAAAGTATGTTCAGATTTTGAAATTCAATATGTTAAGTCTTCTAGTATTTGTGTTTATGTAGTTTTGTGAATGTTTTAACGCCTGTTGGGTTGTTATCGTTCCGAAACCTTACTCATGTCATTCGATGCGCCCTTTCTTTAGAAATTCATCCGCAACAACTATCACGTTTTTCTTGTGTGAAAATAAACAAAGTATCTTTGTTTTGTAACAGAATTAATTGTAGATATAATTGATGCAATTTTATTTTCAAGCTTTTATCAATTGTGAGCATTTTCAAAGAAATTGATCTATAGCTACATGTACATGTATTACTATTTCTTTTGAGGATGCATCAACTGACACATTCGGTCACGTAAAATTCGATGGCGATTTTGATCGGGGCCATAGCTAGATGACGTTCGAGCTCTAGAGCTCGACGCCATAAAAATACACTAGAAATATGTCCATAGGACATGAATGCCCCGCCGAGGGTATATTAGTAACACAACATTTTAACACAAATTGAGAAAAGTGAGGTCAAGGTCAAAGGAAAGGTCAAGGTCAAACATTGTTGATGCAGTTGAAAATGTTACATCAGTATGTATTAGAATATGAAGTTTGATAAAAATATTAAGAATGGTTTCTTTAAAACTGAGCTAAACAATAATTTAAGAAAAGTGAGGTCAAGGTCAAAGGAAAGGTCAAGGTAAAAAAATATTGATGCAGTTGAATAGCTTTCATCAGTATGTATCAGCATATGAAGTTTGACAATAATTTAAGAAAAGTGAGGTCAAGGTCAAAGGAAAGGTCAAGGTCAAAAAATGTTGCTGCAGTTGAATGGAGAAAAAGTGTAAAAAAAATTCCAAAAATAGGTCATGGTGACCTACTTTTTAGTTGAAAAACTCCAAAGACATAATATGCATCAACTTACAATGCCTCATATTTTCAAAAATATTTAGAAATAGCCATAAAATGTGAAAAGTAAGTAACTTTGATCTTTTTTCTTTGGTTGACATACGTCAAGAACCCATAATGCATCAATTGACAAAGTTTGATGATTGTATTATTATTTGAAATATTTAGATATTGCCTAGAAATTCCAGAAGTAGGTCATGGTGACCAACATTATGGTTGACACACTTCAAAGCCTCATGATGCATAAACTGACAAGTTTTGATGATCATAGGCTTCTGATTGTCCTTTTAATTTGTTACTAAGCTTTATATAATGAAACAAGAGGCCCAAGGGCCTCAATGGTCACCTGAGTATAATACAACAATTTAGAAGTTAAATACACTGATAGATGAAGCTTTGTTGCCCTAAAGCAAGAGAAGTAGGAAGATCTGGCCCCAAGACCATAAACTGAGAACAGACTTAAGTCAAAATTTCAAACCAATATAACTTTTGAAATAATCTTGATAATGAAACAAAATTTTCATCATATATTTGGGTTTAAATGTTATATAAAATTGCAAATTTTTTAAGCGAAAAAATTAAATAAAACTCTAGATATTAAAAATCTAAATTTTGACTTAAGTCTATTCTCAGTTTATGGTCTTGGGGCCGGGATCAACAAAATAATTAGTCTAGTATTCAGTATCAACTCATAAATTAAGTTCAATCTGTCCCCCACTTAACACTATCACCATGCAGACTATTAACAAACTATTAGTGCTTCTGTACTATTTTTAAACCCATATTAAAACCTCTAGCATTGACCTCTCTTATGGTCTTTGAAGAACTTTTAATAAGATAAGTTATTTTTGTCTCATTTTTATTTATCTATACTTACAGGTCTACCTGATTATTAAAACTAAGAAAGTACTTTTTGAATTATACAATAAACATTCTTGCATAATTATCTTATTCTATTAACCTTTCAAATACATTATTTAAAGTGATTAATTATCAAAGGTGAATGGAAAAGGGGAATAACTTCTCTCAGTAGAATACAAATTAATAGAGCCCTGCCCAGGACCAGATTGCTTAGACAAATGGTCCAGATGTTCAAAAATCTGGTAGGAATACGCTTACTTATATCATTTAAACTTTTACTCAGTTTGCTTCCGATATGCCCAGAAGCAGAGAAGAATTTCACAGGTACAATGAATTTTCACTACAGATTCAACAAAGCCTTACCCTAACACCAGAACCCAAGACCAAGGGTCAAGAAATTTACAAATTTGGAAGAGTTACCCTCATCATCATAACTATGGATTTTAAAGAATTAAAACTTTTCCACTATATTATCAAAAGCCCGCCTTCCTCGTTATGCCAGAACCCGACCCTAGGACCACAAGATTTAAAAATTCTGTTCGAAGCTCCAATTTTCATCATAGCTAAGCAATTTATTTATCAGCTCAACACTAAGGAGCAGACAGGATTAATCAATGATTAATTAATAGAATTAATGATTTTTCAGTATATAATCAATAGAGCCCCCCCCCCCCCCTCCTCAAGAACCCCAAAAACTGAGGCCAAATATTTAAAAATTTTAAGAGGCATCTTTGCCTATCATAATCATGCACTTACATGTTTGTTTAAATAATCTCCAGTAGCAGAGAAGAAGATTTTCAAAGAATCAATGCATTTTCACTATATAATCAATATAGCCCCGCCCTAACACCAGAACCCCTGACCCTGGGGCCATGAAATTCACAATTTTGGTAGAAGCACTCTTGCTCATCATAACTATGTACTTTATTTAATATTCAGGAGCAGAGAAGAAGATTTTCAAAGAATTAATGCTTTTTCACTATATAATCTATAGAGCCCCGCCCTAACACCAGAACCCCTGACCCTGGGGCCATGAATTTCACAATTTTGGAAGAGGCACTCTTGCTCTTCATAACTATGTACTTAGTTACTTTATTCAATACCCAGGAGCAGAGAAGAAGATTTTCAAAGAAATAATGCACTTTCACTATATGATCTATATAGCCCCACCCTGGGGCCATGAATTTCACAATTTTGGTAGAGGGCTCAATGCTTATTACAATGATGCCAACAGTTTGACTGCTTGATGTACAGGAGTAAAGAAGAAGATTTTTAAAGATTGCATTATTTTTGGTGGTTTTAGCTCCACCCCTCAGGCCCCAGGGGGGCAGGAACCATGAAATTCACAATTTTTGTTCCCCTTCACCCATAGATGCTATATGCCAAATTTGGTTGAAATTGGTTGAGCGGTTTCAGAGAAGAAGCTGAAAATGTTCAAATGTTAACGCACATCGCATGACGCACGCCGACGGACAGAAACGGATAGCAATAGGTCACCTGAGTGAATCAGGTGACCTAAAAAAAAGACTGTGTAATCTTGATGCAACATTTTTCAATAAGGTTACTGCATGACTCTTGGATTTGTAGAGACTGTCTATCAAAAATTTTTTTAATACTTGTTGATTTTATATTTAGATTTAATGAGTAGTTTTAAGCTGCAGTTCACATTTTTTGTACAGATGTACCAACTTGCAGTTCTATGTCTTAGACCTAAGTAAACCCAAAATGACTAATTCAATTAAAATGATAAAAAAAAACCTGTACAATGCAGAAAAATTACCCCATAATAATGAAAATAGCAGGTGCACACCTTCATATAATGAATAATGAGTGTACAAATTTCAGACAAATCTATGCAATAGTCTGTAAAATGCAGAAAAATTATCCAATCATGACAAAAATACCAGGTGCACACCTTCATATGGTGAATAATAAGTGTACAAATTTTCAGAAATATCCATGCAATAGTCTCCGAGTACAGGTCAGGACAAAATCTTGTCTACAGACAGGCAGACATGGTGATTCCAATATACCTCCCCCCTAAACTTTGTTTTGGGGGGGGGGGGGAGATGTAATAAAAAAAACTCATCTTACCCAGCCCAACAATTCCTAGTGTATCCCCTCGTATTCTGGCTGAGCCCTGGGCAGCTTCTCGTAATTGTTCTGGTCCACTAATTTTCTTCCCCTCTCTTACACTGTTGGCCAGCCAGTATGTCCTTCGGTATAGATTCAGTATCAGACATACAGTGGAGTCAGCCACCTCTTCTACACCATATCCAGGAACATTACAGACAGCAATGCCTGAAAAATAATATATAACAAATACACTTGTCTACTTACCTTAAACAAGAGGACTACTTACAATCATTTTGTAAAAGAGTAAATACCTAGCTCTCCTGCTGACTTCACATCCACATTGTCATAACCACTGCCAATTCTGACTATGACCCGTAAACTCTTGAACTTTTCTAAGTCCTCCTTTGCCAGTGTGATAGTGTGCCACATCAGGGCACCAACTGCTTCATTTAGTACCTGTTGAACAAAACAATACAAGATGTATTTGTGAAACACTGATGCCCCCATATGGCAGCTTATTGCCAAGATTTAAGTCTTTTAAAAGTAGGTCAAACTCCAAAGTCAAGGTCATGAGGTCAAAATTGTTAGCACACAAAGAAAGGTCCTGTCACAAAGAATACACATGTGATATATGAAAACCAGAAAACAAAAATGTTTAGAAGCTATGGCCAAGATTAAAGTCTTTCAATATCAAGTCCAACTTTAAGGTCAAGACAATAAAGTTAACAAGAGGCCCATGGGCCACATCGCTCACCTGAGTAACTTTGGCCATGCTGTTCTTTACCAGATTTCCCCGCTTTTAATATACCAATTTGGCCCCGCCCTACCCCCAGGGGTCAAAATTTGAACAATTTAGAATCTGTACTACCTCAGGATTCTTCCAAATATGTCTCAGCTTTATTGGTCCAGTGGTTCTTGAAAAGATGATTTTTAAAGATTTTTCTTTAAGTTATATATTTCAATGTAAAACTTGGATTCCCTATTGTGTCCCGCCCTACCCCCGGGGGTCAGGATTTGAACAATTTATAATCTACACTACCCCAGGATGCTTCCATATAAGTTTCAGCTTTTCTGGCCCAGTGGTTCTTGAGAAGAAGATTTTTAAAGATTTTTCTGATGTATTTCAATGTAAAACTTGGACTCCCTATTATAGCCCCGCCCTACCCCCGGGGGTCATGATTTAAACAAATTAGAATCTACACTACCCCAGGATGCTTCCATATAAGTTTCAGCTTTTCTGGCCCAGTGGTTCTTGAGAAGAAGATTTGTAAAGATTTTTCTTATGTATTTCAATGTAAAACTTGGATTCCCTATTGTGGCCCTGCCCTACCCCAGGGGGTCATGATTTGAACAGTTTATAATCTACACTACCCCAGGATGCTTCCATATAAGTTTCAGCTTTTCTGGCCCAGTGGTTCTTGAGAAGAAGATTTTTTAAGATTTTTCCTATATATTCCAATGTAAAACTTGGATTCCCTATTGTGGCCCCGCCCTACCCCCGGGGGTCATGATGTGAACAATTTAGAATCTACACTACCCCAGGATGCTTCCATATAAGTTTCAGTATTTCTGGCCCAGTGGTTCTTGAGAAGAAGATTTTTAAAGATTTTTCCTATATATTTCAATGTAAAACTTGGATTCCCTATTGTGGCCCTGCCCTACCCCCGGGGGTCATGATTTGAACAATTTATAATCTACACTACCCCAGGATGCTTCCATATAAGTTTCAGCTTTTCTGGCCCAGTGGTTCTTGAGAAGAAGATTTGTAAAGATTTTTCTAATGTATTTCAATGTAAAACTTGGATTCCCTATTGTGGCCCCGCCCTACCCCCGGGGGTCATGATTTGAACAATTTATAATCTACACTACCCCAGGATGCTTCCATATAAGTTTCAGCTTTTCTGGCCCAGTGGTTCTTGAGAAGAAGATTTGTAAAGATTTTTCTTATGTATTTCAATGTAAAACTTGGATTCCTTATTGTGGCCCTGCCCTACCCCCGGGGGTCATGATTTGAACAATTTAGAATCTACACTATCCCAGGATGCTTCCACATAAGTTTCAGCTTTTCTGGCCCAGTGGTTCTTGAGAAGAAGATTTTTTAATGACCCCACCCTATTTTTGTCTTTTCTTGATTATCTCCCCTTGTAAGGGGACTTGGCCCTTTATTTTAACAATTTACACTCCCTTTCACCCAAGGATACTTTGTACCAAGTTTGGTTAAAATTGGCCCAGTGGTTCTTGAGAAGAAGTTGAAAATGTGAAAAGTTTACAGACGGACGGACAGACGGACGGACGACTGACAACGGGTGATCAGAAAAGCTCACTTGAGCTTTCAGCTCAGGTGAGCTAAAAATGTTGGTATCCAAGTAAAGGTCTGGTCACAAGGAACACATGAAATATGAAAGCCTTAGCACTAGCTGTTCAAAAGTTATTTCTTAAGATTTTGCTAACAATCAGACAGTCGGAAAGAAACTATATGCTCTAAATCTTTTATTTCTGGGACATAAAAAGATTAAAGAAATGTCTACATCTCCAAAGATGAAATAGAAAACTGCCATTCAGTAAAAAATAATATTTTGAGGGTTGTGATTAGAATAAATTGATGATAAAAATATAAGCATCTTAAAATACACAATGAATAATACACAATATAAGGATTATTATGAAATTTAAACATTTCTAAATAAAAAATATTATCCCACTAACTGTGAAAATGAATAGTATCTTTGCATTTGCATGTGGCAGTAATGGATAAAACTTCCTTCTATTTATTTATTTTTTTTTGAATACCTTAAAATCATAATACAATTACATACAGTATGTATTTCAAACAAGAGGCCCAAGGGCCTTAATGGTCACCTGAGTACAACAATTTAGAGGATCCATAAACTGATAAACGAAGCTTTGTTGCCCAATAGCAAGGAAAATAGTACGATTAAGATCATAATAGATGTCTCTATTATTACCTCTCACATTGGCCTCACTTGGCCTTTGAAGAACATTTAAAAAGATAAGTTATTTTAGTTTCATTTTTATTCATCTATTATTTCAAAGTCTACCTGATTATTAAAACTATGAAAGTACTTTTTGCATTATACAATAAATGTTCTTGCATAATTTTCTTATTCTATTAATCTTTCAAATACATTATCTACAGTGATTAATTATCAAAGGTGAATGGCAAAGGTGAATAATTTCACTCAGTAGAATACAAATTAATAGAGCCCTGGCAAGGACCAGAACACTTGACTAAATGGTCCAGATGTTCAAAATTCTGGTAAAAACACCTTGCTTATTAAAACTTTTACTCTGTTTGCTTCTAATATGCCCAGGAGCAGAGGAGATTTTCAAAGAAATAATGCATTTTCACTATTTAACACAGCCCTACCCTAACACCAGAACCCATAACCTAGGGTCATGAAAATTTACAAATTTGGAAGAGGTACCCTCATCATCATAACTATACAATTAGTTGGAGATTTTCAAAGAATTCACATATTTTCACTATATAATCAAAAAGAGCCCCCCCCCCCCCCCCCCCCCCCGAGAAACAACAGAACCCCTGGGACCACAAGTTTTAAAAATTTTGTAAAAGCATCCTTGCTCATCATAACTATACACTTGTATCTTTGCTTTATAACCAGGAGTAAAAAAATATTTTGAAAGAAATTGTGAATTTTCACTATATAATCAATAGAGTCCCCCCCCCCCCCCTTCACCAGAACCCCTGACCCAGGGGCCATGAAATTCACAATTTTGGAAGAGGCAGCCATGCTCATCATAACTATGTACTCAGTTAGTATATTTCATACCCAGGAACAGAGAAGAAGATTTTCAAAGATTTAATGCATTTTCACTATATAATCAATAGAGCCCCCACCCCCTAACACCAGAACCCCTAACCCAGGGGCCATGAAATTCACAATTTTGGAAGAGGCTGCCATGCTCATCATAACTATGTACTTAGTTTATTTAATACCCAGGAGCAGAGAAGAAGATTTTCAAAGAAATAATGCATTTTCACTATATAATCAATAGAGCCCCGCCCTAACACCCAAACCCCTGACCCAGGGGCCATGAAATTCACAATTTTGGAAGAGGCAGGCATTCTTATCATAACTATGTACTCAGTTAGTATATTTCATACCCAGCAGCAGAGAAGAAGATTTTCAAAGATTTAATGCATTTTCACTATATAATCAATAGAGCCCCCCCCCCCCCCCCCCACACCAGAACCCCTGACCCAGGAGCCATGAAATTCACTATTTTGGAAGAGGCAGTCTTGCTCAACATAACTATGTACTTAGTTAGTTTATTTAATACCCAGGAGTAGAGAAGAAGATTTTCAAAGAAATAATGCACTTTCACTATATGATGTATATAGCCCCACCTTAGCACCACAACCCCTGACCCTGGGGCCATGAATTTCACAATTTTGGTAGAGGGCTCATTGCTTATTACAATCATTCCAACAGTTTGACTGCTTGATGTCCAGGAGTAAAGAAGAATATTTTTAAAGATTGCATTAATTTTGGTGGTTTTAGCCCCACCCCTCAGGCCCCAGGGGGGCAGGGACCATGAAATTCACAATTTTTGTTCCCCTTCACCCATAGGTGCTATATGCCAAAATTGGTTGAAATTGGTTGAGTGGTTTCAGAGAAGAAGCTAAAAATGTTCAAATGTTAATGCACGACGCACTACGAACGCCGATGGACAAAAACGGATAGCAATAGGTCACCTGAGTGACTCAGGTGACCTAACAAACTGAAGTATAATTTTATACAAGTGGCCTTAGGGCCTTAATGGTCACCTGAGTAAAATACAACACTGTAAAGAATCTATAGTAGTATAAAACAACAAAAACATAGGTAATCAAAGATTATGAAACTCACTTCAACAAGTGTTATCTATATCTCAAGGCAATTAATGTCTCATCAATTGAATGTTCTGGTAGTGCACATCTCTAGATGCAACAACCATGCAAATTTGGCCTGGTTAAGAATTTTCCAAAAACTTTGTTTTAATCATCTTGAAAATATACTATGATTTCATTAGTATTCAAGGGCATCAATTTTCGTGGATTTAGTAAATATCACAGTTTCAAGGATACATAAATTAGTGGATAATGGTCCTACAACAAAAATTTTTTTTGCCACCTTTTCATTCTTTCTCTCGTATGCTTCAGTGAGAACCTTCATGCCATTCACAATGTTACAAGTTCATAATTATTTAAAGACAGTTACTAACAGGTGAAAACTCTTTATTATTTATACTTAACTCATCTTATTTTTTAAAGTTGGAACCTTCAGGCATTTATAATGCAGTAAATATGGTATAACAATCAAGGGTGAGGAATTCCAAATACTAGTACTCTCTTCATTGTAAGACTATTTATGAGCTCGATGGGTCAATTAAATATCAGATATTGAAACAGATGATTAAAACAATTAATTAAAGTAGACTTTAATAAAAGTATGGGAAAAAGATGTGTAAGACAATTTAAATTTTATCTTTTAGGCTATGCACTGAATTTGTTTTCATCAAAGCTATGCACTTATTTTGTTTGCTCATTACCAAACAGAAGATTTTCAAAGAATTAACTCTAACTGCTAGAGACTCTCTGTAGAGAGCCTGCTACTGATAAGCTCTTAGGCTGCCTATCAGCACTAGTTTACTAGCTCACTACCAGAGATAAATTCCTGCTATGGCAGAATGAGGATAAAATGCAATAGTGGGCACATTTATTGCTGATTATCTCATTATCTGTAGGAATAAAAAAATATTCTTTACATCTTTATCTTATATCTCATATATTTTTTTATTGCATGAATTTGCAAAAATCAACTGTTTTGAATAAGTTTCCAAAATTTTACCAGAAAATAGAATTCTGTTGTGAAACTTCTCATTTCATTTCACAATTTTCATAGATTTCATGTATTTTTGGTATGACAAATTAGAGAACAAACATTTATAAAAACTTCATGATGAAATCAAGTTGGTTTTTCTCCTTTTCTAATGCAAATGCGACATCCACAAGCTTTGTAAATACATGGTTTATAAATGGTTTGCACAAAACCGCCATCCACGCTAAGTTCTTGTCATAGCTGTTCAATAACGAACGGGTATTTATTGGTAAAATCTCAGTAGTTGATACAGAAGAAACAAAATTATAATTTCCAATCTCAAAAAAATGTCATTAACTCCATTCACGTTCTCAAAATACCTAAAAGACTAGAAATATGTCCATAGGACATGAATGCCCCGCCAAGGGTATATTAGTAATGCAACATTTTAACACAAATTGAGAAAAGTGAGGTCAAGGTCAAAGGAAAGGTAAAGGTCAAAAAATATTGCTGCAGTTGAATAGCTTACATCAGTATGTATCAGCATATGACGTTTGATTCAGAAACTAATTTAAGAAAAGTGAGGTCAAGATCAAAGGAAAGGTCAAGATCAAAAAATGTTGATGCAGTTGAAAAGGTTACATCAGTATGTATTAGCATATGAAGTTTGATGAAAATATTATGAATGGTTTCTTTAAAACTGTGCTAAACACTAATTTAAGAAAAGTGAGGTCAAGGTCAAAGGAAAGGTCAAGGTCAAAAAATGTTGATGCAGTTGAAAAGGTTACATCAGTATGTATTAGCATATGAAGTTTGATGAAAATATTATGAATGGTTTCTTTAAAACTAAGCTTAACACTAATTTAAGAAAAGTGAGGTCAAGGTCAAAGGAAAGGTCAAGGTCAAAAAATATTGATGCAGTTGAATAGCTCTCATCAGTATGTATCAGCATATGAAGTTTGACACTAATTTAAGAAAAGTGAGGTCAAGGTCAAAGGAAAGGTCAAGGTCAAAAAATGTTGATGCAGTTGAATAGCTCTCATCAGTATGTATCAGCATATGAAGTTTGATAACACTATCTTGAATGGTATCTTTAAAACTGAGCTAAAAACTTATTTAAGAAAAGTGAGGTCAAGGTCAAAGGAAAGGTCAAGGTAAAAAATATTGATGCAGTTGAATAGCTCTCATCAGTATGTATCAGCATATGAAGTTTGTTAAAAATATCTTGAATGGTTTCATTAAAACAGAGCTAAACATTAATTTAAGAAAAGTGAGGTCAAGGTCAAAATAAAGGTCAAGGTAAAAAAAATGTTGATGCAATTGAATAGCTTACATCAGTATGTATCAACATATGAAGTTTGATTACACTATCTTGAATGGTATCTTTAAAACTGAGCTAAACACTAATTTAAGAAAAGTGAGGTCAAGGTCAAAGGAAAGGTCAAGGTCAAAAAATGTTGATGCAGTTGCATAGCCCTCATCAATATCTATCAGCATATGAAGTTTGATAAAAATATCTTGGATAGTTTCTTTGAAACTGAGCTTTGAACAGAGCTAAACGCAAAGTGTGACGGAAGGACAGACGGAAGGACGGAAGGACGGAAGGACAGAAGGACGGAAGGACGGAAGACGGACATGACAAACACTATATGCCCCGGCCATATTCATGGCGGGGCATAAAAACTTGGAAGAATCCGCTACTCGCGCATCCCCCATCTTTACAACACCAAGTTTCCTCAAAATATCAACGAGATTCAAGCCCTTTGTTTTAGGTATTCCCCATACTATATTCGGCACATAATGATAAAAATAGGTGAAGACAGTACTGCATGTGTACTTGAAAAAGTGGGCTTCATATTTTAGTGGCTTTGGCGCGGAAAACAATGCGCTAATTCATGAATACTGCTAAGAAATCATTTACTAATACAATACATGGCACGGACATGTGTTGCGCTAATTCCCTTTTATGCCAACAACTCCATACCCCTTGATTGCGCCAAATTTTGAATACGCAAATTTATACACGTACAGTATTTGTCTCCGTAATTCTCATTGGTTTTTTTGGTCATGTGACAAGATTTTCAGCCAAACATCGTTTCTTTTACGATGGAAATCAGATGCAAATCTCCAACTTCAAGTATACAAGCATGGTGGTCGATATAGTATATATGCGTCTTTGAGGATACAGCACGGTTATCTGTAGACGTAAATATACGTCTCTGAGGATAAAAGCAGCTAAAATTAGGATGCAAATATGTGTCTCTGGCAGTAAAAGAGTTAATGCATATTTGCCATGTAATCAATAGAGCACCCTCTCCCCAGAACTCCTGACCTTACAGCCACAAAATTCATAATTTTAGAAGAGGCACCCTTCCTCATTATTATCATGCACTTAGTCTATCTGCAGCTACTCAGAAGCAGAGAAGATTTAATGCATTTTCACTCATAATCAATAGAACTCTACCCTTACACCAGTCCCTTGACCAGGGCCATGAAATCTGTAATTTTGGAAGAGACACTCTTGCTCATCAAAACTATGGACTTGGTTTGTTTGCTTAATACCCAGGAGCAAAAGATTTTCAACGAAATAATGCATATTTAATATAGAGCCCTGTCCTTACACCAGAACCCCTGATCCAGGGGCCATGAAGTTCACAACTTTACAAGAACACAACACATACATACTTACTTTTTCATGAATTTCTTGAGTTGACTGAGCATCACAAAATGCCACAGTGGCAACATCTTTGAGAATGGGCATCTCTATTGAACAGTCTCTGCCATCCAAAAGAGCTATCAGGGGCCTGGGATGCATTGGCCCATTGGGAATGGGTCCACGAATGGACACTGTAAAATAAAAAAAAATATCTTATGACAGTCTGCTACATGCAGCAAAACTGCAATTTGAGGTGTTCCATTTCCAGAAGGCTTGCTTTCTAGTGTTTCAAAAGTTTCCTCTTCATTTTCCTGTTATTACAAGTAAGACTTTTCAACCATTGACCACAACACCCACCTGAGTCACACTCATCCTGCTTTTTTGAGATTTTTTCCTCCTATAATATTTTTAACCCCGAATTATGGCAATGATTTAATTAATTTGAAACTACACTAGCTGAGATTGCTTTCAAATTAATATGAACAAGGGTATAGCAAAGTGAAGCATCCCCTTGCAAGATAGCATATTGTCCCCGATAAAAATTATTACGTGACTTCCATTACACATGCACTCACTCACCCATTCACAAACACACAAGCTCGTTACTACATGCCCTTCAACTTCCTCCCTAGGGGAAAATAATCATCAGAGGTTTTCCTACCATTTGTAATTTGGGTCAATGATACATAGAGTTGGGAATATTGACGTGAAATTTGTTCAAATTGGGAAAAATTTTAAAATGACTAATTTTGTTATTTTCCCCAATAAATGAAATTGAAGGGGGGTAAAAAGTGTCTGTGTTACAACAGAGTGAACAACTGTAGACAGATATGAAGACAGTGATAAATTATCTGATAATAAAAATATTGCAGAATAAAACATTGTTTAGTTTTAATCCTGTCATGACTGATATAAAAAAAGTTTAAGTGAACATTTTTTTATTTTGGGATAATGAAAAATTGCAAAAAACACTATTACATTGAAGACTGTTGTAAAAAAAAAAAACAAGAGGCCCAGGGGCCACATCACTCACCTTAGCACTGTGGCGAGGAAAAAAAGGAAAAATCAGTTTAGTACTGAAAAGCTTAAATGCATAAGTGGTCCCAACCTACCCCTAAAAGGGAGTGGGGGGTATAATTTGAACAAAATTAAATCTACACTAACTAAGGATGCTTACATAATTTTTTGACTAACTGTGACTTTTTTCTCCACAAGTTTAAACTTTCATTGTGGCCCCACCCTACCCCTGGGGGTCATGATTTGAACAAACTTGAATCTACACTATCTGAGGATGCTTCCAAATAAATATGACAAACAGTGGCTTTGCTGTTCTTGAGAAGATTTTTAAAGATTTTTCCTATATATTCCTATGTAAAACTTTGATCGCTCATTGTGGCCTCACCCTACTCCTGGGGGTCATGATTTGAACAAACTTGAATCTACATCACCTGAGGATGCTTCCACATAAATAAGACCAATCATAGCTTTGCTGTTCTTGAGAAGATTTTTAAAGATTTTTCCTATATATTCCTATGTAAAACTTTAATCGCTCATTGTGGCCCCATCCTACCCCTGGCGGTCATGATTTGAACAAATTTGAATCAACACCACCTGCAGATACTTCCAAATAAATTTGACCAATCATGGCTTTGCTGTTCTTGAGAAGAAGATTTTTGAAGTTTTTTCCTATATATTTCTATGTAAAACTTTGATCCTCCATTGTGGCCCCACCCTACCCCCGGGGGTCATGATTTGAACAAACTTGAATCTACACTACCTGAGGATACTTCCACATAAATATGACTCATCATGGCTTTGCTGTTCTTGAGAAGAAGATTTTTTAAGATTTTTCCTTTATATTTCTATGTAAAACTTTGATCCCCCATTGTGGCCCCGCCCTACCCCCGGGGGTCATGATTTGAACAAATTTGAATTTACACTACCTGAGGATGCTTCCACATGAGTTTCATCTTTCTTGGCCCCGTGGTTCTTGAGAAGAAGATTTTTAAAAGATGCTATTAATTTTTCACTAATTCTTTAGTATCTCCCCTTGAAAGAGGGCATGGCCCTTCATTTGAACAAACTTGAATCCCCTTCACCCAAGGATACTTTGTGGCAAGTTTGGTTGAAATTGGCCCAGTGGTTCTTGAGAAGAAGTCGAAAATGTTAAAAGTTTACAAACAGACAGACAGACAGACGGATGGACGCCGGACAAAAATTGATCAGAAAAGCTCACCTGAGCCGAAGACTCAGAGGAGCTAAAAAGTTAAATGGACATCATATTTTGGAAAATAATTGTTTTCAATCAAAGAGACAGCACGGCGCATCTCATAAAAAAAAGACTTGATAAAATATTCCAATAGGATTTGGAATTTTTTTACTACTCCTAAAATGTATAAACTTCCAGAAAATTACAAGTTTCATTACTAAATAATAGGGATGTCAACGAATATTCAATTATTCGAATATTCATTCGATGAGTTGATATTCGAATAAGAATTTACGATTCGAATATTTGGTTTTTTTCCCAGATTTCACACACAAAAAAATGATTCCTATGATTAATTTCGAGGACAACAAAATGAAACTATTCTTTGTCAGTCTAAAAATGTGAAGAGTTTACTTGACAAAATAAATTCCTTGATTATTGAATTACTTGTTTTATAGAATTGGTCTGTAATACCGTAAAGGGATCAATTTCACAATAAATTGTGTTAATTACATGATCATCTCGGGTTATACATGTACATATTCCAAATTTTACAAATCATTTTCGGAAATAGTTAATTACCTACGAAAATTGTCCTTGGAAGTGTTTTTTTATGTTTTGAAAATATTGAATCAAGGATTATAATTACAACTCTTATTTGGATGTTTACATGTGCACTCAAATCAATATATTTATTTCAAACATCGACAAATAGCAAATGTAAAATTCCTTACTGTACCTCTACAAAATTCTACGCCCAATTTTTCTTCCAAACCTTTCATGAGGGTAAGATGATGCATATATAAAATTAACTAAATCTTATCGAATATTCGAATATATTCGAATACTTTCATTGAATATTCGAATATGAATTATTGACAAAATTGACATCCCTACTAAATAACTTTGATTATTTCATTAAAATTAATAATTATTTATGGACCCTAAATATATACATTGCAATGTGTTAGGGGTTCCACATTCCATGCCATTCACTCATGCGTACTTATCATAAACAAAACAGCATGGTAAAAGAGGGTAGCCAGGTAGGCCTGCTACCTTGACGAAGTCGACCAAGAAAAAAAAAACTGAAAATAAAGTTTGAAAAAGCGAATTTCCTGACCAAAATTTTACTTGGGGGATTAATATAATCATTGGTGGAGGAAGAAACAGGAGCTCGGTGAGACTCACACAGGGCTTGCAAAGGTTCTCCTCGACAGGTTCACTGATACTTGTTATCATTCCTCCTATCTCCATAGCTTTCAAAGAGAAAAGCAGTGTAAACTCAACACCTATGATATATAACTGCCATTTAAAGTGCAAATTGTAACGTAACTGTCCTGACAATATTTTTGACGTTTTGCCGCGATAACGCATGATTTGGTGTTTTTCCCTTCTCAGACCCCAACACACAAAACATCAATATTTGTACGTTTAATTCTTTAAGATTCGTCTGAAAGCAGATTAAAAAGTTCACAATTAATAATTGATCAGAAAAGTTGTAATATTTTGCTTTTGAGAATTTCTGTTACCACATATTCCATTAAAGTTGTAAACTATATACAGTTTAGGCACGTGAAATAAACCGATCTAAGATTGCTCCGGTTTGTACGACCCTTTGATTTCTGGCATATTCTAATTACCATAATTTTGTTTGAAGAGAGAATATTCATGTTTCTCAAACTGTACATCAACTTTATACCTACATTCTTAATGATATATTGGGTAAATTTGACTGAAAAACACACTTATTGCAGCTGTACTGTCCCTTTAAATATGTTTTAAAATATGTAGTATTAATATTAATTAAGTAGCAGAAAAAAATGGAAATATTTCCTAAAATACACCTTTTTTATTGAGGGTAAAAAAAATTGATTAAAAAAAGTTGGATGACAGAATTTGTGTGTTTTGGGATATTAGTCTAACCCTTACTACTTTAACATGATGCATGTAAATGTAAAGTAAGCTCATTGACAACTTTCATGATAACTGTAAAATTATTTTTATGAAAAGACATGAACATGTGATCGAATTTTAAAAATAAGCTGTCTTCTTTTCCTCTCCTACCCAAATTTTTTGAAAAAAAAATCCTTAAAACTAAAAATTAAATTTCTCTCACCTTATACTCAATAGTAAAAGATACAACCTATAAAGTATTAGACGAAAAGATTTCAGTGCACATGCATGTATGTCACTGCAGACATCACCCAGGCTTGACCCTAACTTCAAAACAAGCATCACTTACAAACAGAGGTGTTAATGAATTGTGATGTGACAGATAAAGATTAGGTACTTGTTTTTCTTAAACAGGCAAGATAATTAATCCCAGAAGATTAATTGTACTGCTGTTTCATCCTTTTATTGTAAGTTAACAACCTTTTATTCTAAGGCCATCTTTAAATCAAAGTACTGACACAGTACTGAAAGATGGGCTCAAATAAGGAACCTCATTGCATACATGTGATAAGTCAAAGACCACAAAACTGTACTGGAGCCATAAAAAAACTGGAATTTGGGTGAAAAAACTGTACACTGTCTATCAAAAAACGGTATAAAATATCGCTTAAATTCTTCTGATAAGGCACCTTATTTCTAAACCAACAAATATATATTGTTGCAAATGTCTTATTTTAAAAGTTGTAATCACTACTGGAGATTTGAAAGCTTTAAAATTTCATATACTGTGTTTTATAATCACAATATTCTTTTGAATCGACTATAAATTAAGCTAGTTCAGATGATAGTTTGTTTGCCAGCTTCATATAGTATTAACTTGAGAGTCAATGTCTCCAATTTACACCTTGTTCATATTACTGATATATACATCAGCAATGCTAAATAACAGTAGCAAATACAATCATACATAAATTTCAGCACATAAAAACTTAAAACTATATCTTTTATTTCAGCGTAATCATGGTAATAAACATCGTATATTTTATACCTACGAAGATCTGGGTCAGATTCATGTATATTAAGTCA